GCAAGGGCCTCTCAGAAAGATAATGTTTCAGAGGGACTTAGTGAAAACCTGCTTTTAAAGGTGTTAAACTGCAGCCCTGCACATCATGGGCTTTGGTTTTGAGCCTGATGCCCTGCCTTGTTAAGTGACCCTTTGAAAACAACATTTTGGGAACTCCAGACTTAGAGCCTTGATTAAAGTGTTCTTTGGGACTTCTGTGTAGAGAGCTTCAGGGAGCTGAATTACATCACCAGGCTTTTCTCCTCACAGACAAGGGTCCGTGCTGTCCCCATAAGCCGTGAGTGCAGTCATATCAACAGTAACATGGGAGAACTTCAGGGTGACTGATTCAGGAGGTGGATGCAATGGAGTAACTGGGAAAAATGCTTCTGGGAGGTGTATCCACCTCATATACAGTTCTATGTTATTCCAGTTATGACCATCTTAGAGGCCTCTGCTGGATGCATTCCAGGGCCATTTCTCCTGTACCAAGGGAGCCAATCTTGTTCCTCTTGTTTCTCTTAGAACCATCTTGTTCTGAATGACTCCTCCTGTGGCTCCATGATCCTATCCTAGCAGGTATTTAACAAAAGCTGATACAAGACCTACAGGGTTGAGTGAACTCTCAGTCAGGCTATCCTGTGAGCAGGCAGGGCAGCAGTATGTTTCCCATCCAACCTTAGGTGTACTCTCAGAGCCAGCTTGTTTAGGGAAAGCTTCTTGCTGCTCTTATGTCTCCTTTCTTGCTCCTTTGCCTTGCACAGTCCCAGTGTTCTCTCATCTGTGTGACTACCAGAGGTGGTATCTGTGGTGTCCGGTGCTGCAGAAGCTACTTTGAGACCAGGGTCAACGCTGCAGCTCATGCCTACAGCATGTTCGTTAGGCATGGACATGGCAACTGCAACTACTCTTCCTGGGCTCCTTTCTGCTGCACTGGCCTGAATAGCAGATCTGTGTGTGACCATCCCTTTTTGTAACAGTACAGGGACCTGTTGGCCTGCAGCTCATCTGCGTGTAGCACTTCTGTTATTTTGGAGTTAGTTAGGAATTGAGCTTTTCTGTGTGGCCAGCAGCATGGAGAGAAACCTCCAAAGTAAGCACCAAGTATGTGATGTCCAGCTGTTTGGGAGAGGTTGTCCAGTAGCTGCTCTCCCTTCCTTGCAGCCCCCCACGTACCAGAACCACATCTCATTGCCGTGGGACACAGCAGAAGGTGTGTGGTTACCAGTCCTATAGAATCATAAAATAGTTAGAGTTAGAAGGATCCTTAAGATCATCTAGTTCCAACCCCTCTGCCATGGGCATGGACACCTTGCACTAAACCATGTCACCCAAGACTCAATCCAACCTGGTCTGGAACACTGCCAGGGATGGAACATTCACAACTTCCCTGGGCAACCCATTCCAGTGTCTCACTACACTCACAGTAAAAAACTTCCTCCTTATAGCCAATCTAAACTTCCCCTGTTTAAGTTTTAACCCGTTACCCCTTGTCCTATGACTATGGTCCTTAATGAAGAGTCCCTCCCCAGCATCCTTGTAGGCCCCCTTCAGATACTCGAAGGCCGCTGTGAGGTCTCCATGCAGCTTCTGTTCTCCAGCCCCAGATTTCTTAGCCTGTCTTCATACAGGAGGTGCTCCAGTCCCCTGATCATCCTCGTGGCCTCCTCTGGACTTGTTCCAACAGTTCCATGTCCTTTTTATGTTGAGGACACCACAACTGCACACAATACTCCAAGTAAGGTCTCACGAGAGCAGAGTAGAGGGGCAGGATCACCTCCTTCAACCGTCTGGTCACCACATCCCAGGATGCAGTTGGCTTTCTGGGCTGTGAGCCCACACTGAAGCAGGCTCATGTTAAGTTTCTCATCAAGCAACACCCCCAGGTCTTCTGTTTGTATTTCCAACATCCTTGTGGTGCTCACTGTGTTGCTGCCCAACCGATGTGGACACTGGGAGATGCAGCTGTGACTGGTGTGGAGAATGGGCCCCTTTAGAGCATCGTTCCTTTTGGCTGTGTATACCAGGCATTTTGCCATTTGCTTCCTTGTTCTGGTTTTTCAGTGACATCTCAACCTGTCCTTGAGCTGTGTTTTTATTTTTCACTCTTATCAAGGTGTCTTTACCATTCTTTAAATAGCTTTGTTCTTGAGGCTTCTCTGAACAACTGGAACAACCAGAGCTACTGTTACTAGCTCTGGGTATTGAATTTATCATTTTCTCCTTAGGAATCAGGGATGATGAACTGTCTCCTTCTCCAGGAAAGCAAACCTTATTGGATTGCTGTGATGCTGCTTTGGTTTGGTATTGGGAAGTGCCTTCCATGAAGAAGCAGTGTACAGAGTTCAGCTGCCCCTTGGGGCAACAGGCAGAGAGGTCCATCACACTTCGGTCCCTTGGAGCTGGTCAGCATGAGAGAAGGAACATGGTTATTGAAAAGGTGGTCCTGGTCCACCCAGAAAGAATAGCTTCCTTCAAACCCTGCCAGTGTTACAGCAGCCCAAGCTGTGCATACACAGTGGAGTAGGTCTCTTGTAGAGAGCTGATGTGGGGCTCTGCTGTACATTTCCATCCCTAGATGTTATTGCACAAGGGTTCAGGGGCCATGACAGATATGCTGTGTGCTGCTGGGACCCTTCTGCCTTCAAAAAACTGACTGATGGAGGGACCTCCGGGAGCTCCCAGACAGAAGCAAAATTTGTCTGTGAGTCATGTCCCATCTGCTGTGCAGGTCAGAGAGCTGGAGGTAGTGTTGGTGGGTTGTGTTTGTGTGTATGTTAGAGCAGATTTGGGAAGGAAGGGGAGTTGGTTGAGAGCCTAGCAGCCTCCTCCAGAGGAAGCACTAGCTGCTCTCCACCATCCTGCCCTGCAACAAGAAGTGGCAGGGGATGTATGAGTGAATGAGGCATGTTTGCCCCTCTCCCTGCATCCTACACCAGTGCTCAGAGTCTGGCAAGCCAAGGGTTCATCCTGGCTTGAGGAGCACATCCTGCCAGCTGGTTTTCTTCCAAGAGGGAGGCTTAACTATGTTGTGCTCACAGGAAACCAAATCTCGTGTGGGGTTTACACTCACATCGCTGCGGAAACATTCCAGGAGACCATGCAAACCTCTGCTCCTTGTTGATCTTCCTCTGGCCAGACAGACACTCCACTCAGGTCCAGGCATGTGCTCTGACTGCTTTGCCTGGGAGGGCTTTAGCTGCATTCTTCCTCCAGGTGGGAGCACAGGGTGGTTTTACAGGCTGGGCTCCTCACGGGCTCAAAACGTGGAGAAAGGAGAAGCAGCCACTCTGGGGATAATCAGGATTGTAAAGAAAACTTTAAAAAATGTATGTGTGGTGACTTCCGGACCAAGGATTCTGCACATGCCTTTGATGGGGATTGACTCTTGGTCCTACCTGTGCACGTTCCTCACAGCTCTCCAGCTGGGGCAGGCAGGAGGAGGCTGCCAGCACCATCATGGTCAAGCCCCAAGACCTACCCACAGTGCAGTTAAACTCTCTTCTGCTGGTTGCTCAAAACTCAGGTATGAAATGCTGAGCTGGGTCATGGGCCGTGAGGTCTTTGCAGGTTTCCAGCCAGCCCTCCTGGATGAGCGGCAACCATTGGGCTGTGATGGAGCAGATCCCCTCATTGCCTACAGAGGCAAGAGGGGGAGTCTTCTCTTTGGTACATCCTAAATGGACATTACACAAATTGTGCACATTAGTTCAGTTTAAGCGTAGTATTTGTGAATTAAGTTATCTGACGCTTTGCATGAAAACTTCAAAAAGGGGAGGGTGGAGGTTTAACTGGGAAAAAGCCTATGAAAATATACTGGAATTATGGTAAACTGACAGTCTGCTGTATATTGACAGAATTATTTTTATTAAAATACACATCCCTGTGCAAGAGCCAGTGTGGAGCCGTGTGCTTTGTCAGCCCCATGCATGGGGCTTCTCAACATTTTCACCTCTCAATGGGAACAGCATCTTGTAACACCTGCATTTCATCAACACAGCTCTTTCTGCAGGTCAGAAACTTCCAGATTAGCAGTGTGCCATGGCAAGAATTGCTTTTTCTCATTGAGCATTGTGTTCTCCACTTGTAATATTCTGGTTGGGGGTCTGTGTTGTTTTGATTTGCAGCAGTGTTCGAAACAAATGGAGGAAATACCTTTGCAACCCTCCAATGTGAATGATTGGGAAAGGCTGCTTAGTAAGGGAAATGATGAAAGAGTCTCTGAAATACAGGCTGGGGCTTTCTATCCATGAGCTTACTACCTTTGCATTACATATGGTGCAGGTCCATTTTTCCTTTCAGAAGACAACTTGGCCATCACAGCCATCAGTGTTATATGCTCTCAAGGTGTAACTTGGGAGCTTTATGTCTATAAACAGCCAAGCACCACCCACGAGATGTTTGTCCCCAAAAATCTGATTCTGCTTCAGCTTTCCTTTCCACTTCTGCATCATCCCATGGTGCTTAAGATCGATGGGTTTTTCCTGTCCCCTGCCTACATTCAGTACACTACAAAATAACAGCCCTGCTTGTTTTCTAGTTGTGAGCATGAAACACTGATGAGGCTTTAGGCTAAGGATCAGTCCATGACACTTGCCACTGAGGGGGTTGCATCCTCACCTTGTGGGCACTGCTGACATCGGTTTTCATCTGCCTCACCTTGCAGCAGCCACCAGCATATTTGGAAATTGATAAAGGATCTAGATCTTCTTCTCAAACCCTCCACTCCAACCACCTAATTTGGAGTGCCTGCAATGCCTGGGAGGGCAGAAAGTGTGCTGTAAGGACAAGCAGACTTACCTATGGGTGAGGGTAACCTCACCTGTGGGTCAAGACCTGGCCCCACTATGACATTCCCAAAGCAGCTTGCAGTGATCAGGCACAGTTTGCACCAAGCCTGAAGAAACATGAGCAAAAGGGGCTTTAAATCCCACCGTGCCCTGAGCTTGCAAAATGTGTGTCCTTGGGCTGAAGAATCAGGAAAAATTCAAAGAGCAACTTGTGGCAGTGAGTCTTTATTATTATATATTTATTATAAATATTTCCTCCACTGGGTACATCTTGGCAGGGCAGTGACAGTGGAACAACTTGGTGGCTACCATTACACTGGTCCTGGGGTGGTTGGGGCTGGCTCCACCTGTAGTGATGGTGGCCCCTGCCAGGGGACCCTTCAGAGAAGTGCCACGAGCACCATCAGCTTCCTCCCGAGACAGGACTGGATGGGCAAGTCAGATGATGAACAGCAGAAGGGGGATTTCATTTTTTCCTTTGAAGTTTTTCTATGGCTGTCTTCACCCAGCTCTTCATGGGGTTGGCGCAGATCTCCTCACCCTTGGCAGTCACAAGCCTGCATTGAGAAAGTGAGGAAAAAGGGTAAAAACATGAACTGTGAGCTGTTCCTTTCCCAGGCACTACTTTTCCCCTCCCTGTGTGCAGCCCCATCGTGGATGGAAGCTTGAAGCCATCTCCAGCAGCCTGTGCCCTCCTTGGGCTGATGGTCTATGTCTGAGTCTTCCCAGACCACGGGCATTAGCAGAAAGCACCAAAACCAAGTTTTTTTCCCCTTCTGTCCACCCTACAGAGCTGTTTTCCTACCACAGCCCTGCCCAGGTCTGTGCTACCAGCTGTAACCAAGCTGTTGGTAGGGATGGGAGAAGCTGCCCTAGCACTCAGCTGTGCAGCAGTGCAAACCCCTGGCGTACTCACACAACTGCAGGCAGGCGGCATCCTTTGGGGGTGTTGTAGAAGCTCTCCGCACGCTCGACACGTTTCCGCGCATACTTGTCACAGCATTCTCTGGGCAATTTGCGGGCTGTCAAGGGAAAGGAGACATGTGAATGCCGTAATTGCATCACAACTACACTGCAGGATATTGAGTATGTGATGGGGGCTGTGGAGCTTCTTGGCAGCTTCCACAGCACCCCACAGCAGGGATTATTTTCCGTTGGTGGCAGCAAGTACAGGAATGGGAAACGTGGACAATAGTAGGGAGGGGAACATGTGAGACCACAGCCCACACTGCTGCGGTGTATGGTGAGGTCAGGGTGCCCAGCCTGGAGAAGAGGTACTGGGGGTTTCCAAGCTGGGGGCACAGCTTGCAAGGTATTTTGAGAGTCTCCAAACCACTGCAACAGGCTCCCCCATGTCCAAGCACTTGCTCATCCAGCTGAGACCTGGGAAACGGCTGTCAGTCTCCTCCAAGCTCCTGCAGCATCTCTGCAGGGTCAGCTTTGCTGAGGCCACTCAGCACCCACTCCATCCTTCCCTGCACCCCAGGATGTGCTACCCTCCCCTGGCCAGGGGGGTGCACTTCCTACCAGCAGCACCATCCATGCTTCCCACCAGGGTTTCTTGCCCTGACCTCCCCAGTGGGGACAGGCTGACCCCAGCCTGCAACAGTGGCCCATGGGGTGCCTTACCTGCGATGTGGTGCAGGGAGAAAGTGAGGAGCAGGGTGAGCAGCAGGACTGTCCTTGCAGCGAACATGGTGGCAGTGCGAGGGCTCTTCCTCCGTCCTGCTTCGTGCTACCTTGCCCTGTGTCTATGCCTTTGGCTCTCACCACGCCGTAATTTAACCTCTGCATGCCACCCACTCTAACCGCTTTTCCCCAAATTTCAGACATGTTCTAAGAAGCTTCTTAGATAAGGGGAATTTCTGTCGTTTATTCTGGCAGCATGTCCAGAGCTGGGTCTAAGGGTGAGGAGCGGGGTGGCCACTTCTGCTTTCTGCGAAAGAGCCACAGGGCTGAGAGGGGCTTCCAGGAGGCTTCACGGGAAGCGAAATTTACTCAGGAAAGCAGACTATAAACAGCTTTCTGTGATGACAGAATGTCAAGTCTAATGCTTTCTTCTTCATTTCCATCAGGAGAGACAACACAAAATCTCTAAGCAGCTGCAGGTCAGTGACAGGTTTAGCTGGTTTGCCTGAGTCGTCAAAGGTGAGTGACTGATGAGTCCCCTCCAAACAAGCCTCCCCAACCACCCTGCCCATACCAGGGGCATTGCATTAGGCATTGAAGTACTCAGCATGGGATGGGATGGGATGAAAAAGCCACGCTGGACCGAACTAGGAGGGATCCCAGAGCAAGTGGTGACAGAGATGCTTTTGGTGGGTTCAGGAGACTTTATAGAAGAGGAAGAAATGAAGCAAAGGAAGTGGAGTGTCTGTGTCTGAGCCCAAGACTGAGCCCAAGCATTGCCTCCACCTCCCACGCCGGTGATGGGATTGACATGGGAGGGTCAGAGTGTCATCCCAGACCCCAGAGAGGACCCCGAGGGCAGCACCATGCAGCACTGGTGGACATTAGCCCAGCTTCCAAGCAAAGACCTGCTTCCTGGCAAGGTGAGATGTAGCTGCAAAGAGGGGGTGAGGACCTAGTAGGAACCCACAAAGGATGATGCTGAATGGAAGCATGGGAGAGGACCTGGCTGTGGCTTGGGAATGAGGCAAGGCAGGGCTTCTTGGAGGAGAGACAGGTGGAAATTGACTTCTTTGAAGATTATTTTATGCTTGCGTGACTTCACTAGAAGAAGAAAGGAGAAGGAAACAAATCAAATGTGCTGATGACTCTATTTTGGAAGGATGATCTGCAGGCCATTGGGTCTGGTGACCTAGCATGGTAGCAGGTGGGCATGCAGAGAACTGAGGACAGCACTGCTGGTTTCTCATTACACTTTCCTCAGGCAAGGGCTCTGCAGGGAGAAGACACCTGATACACAGTCCCTGAGCCCCCTTCCACAGCTTCTGTATCCCCCAGCCTGCACTTTCGCAGCTCCTCCCCAATGTACAAAGCCTCAAGCCCAATGAGCCACCAGGGTCACACCACCTCCCAGACATCAGTTAAAATCAAAGGGCTGTAATTAAGGGGGAACTGATCTGATGGCTTTCTCCAGCCAACATCTCACATAGGGAACTTCATATGCCAAGCTCTGAGCTCACTTTTTCAGGCCCATCTGAGGCACACAGCCACTGCTCCTTTCCCTAGCTAACTAACCCTGTCCCATCAGAAGCATTAGTAAATGCCTCCACTATCTGTTCCTCATAAAGCAAATGAGTGCATGTGGGGTATTTGAAAGCCTGGAGGGGTCCCAAGAGGCTCTCTGGAGGACTGGACTTTCCCCTGGTATCAGTGCCCCAGCTGTGGACCCTTGGGCTTGGCTTCAGTCTTCTCCAGCCCCTTCCAAACTGTCACATTTGGGTGCTCCCAGCAAAATCCCAGGCCATCCCCACCAATGTCAGAGTCTCATCCCCACGTTGGGAGCTCAAGGGCCTCCCTCAGGTTTGCCTGGTTAGGCAAGTGCAAAGGCAGGAGCCATCTGTGTAGAGAGAAGAGGAGGGACAGGCTGTGCACATGATTTTATTGATGTCTACAACACCTGCAACCTCACTATTGTTGAATGCAGCCCTCTCTAGATGAAACCTTCATCACCACCAACCATGGCCAAAAAGGCAAAGGCAAAACTGTAACAATAACCAACTTTCAGAAATTCACCAGAGCCTTCTTCCAGTGCCATGGCTAGGAATAAGAGAATTGGAAAAGGCAATATGTCAAGGGAAATAGTATGGTAGAGGCCATACAGCAGAAAGACCTTACAAACAGAGGTCAAATCTAGATCTCAAGCAGCGATACAAAGCCAGTTAGTACTAGATGATCTATTAGAGGCCAATGGAGCAGTTTGTGCTCTCATTGACACCTGTAGAACAAGATAGAATAGAAACAGATATAATGACAATCCAAAGCCACCTAAAAGCTTTTCATGAAATTCAGAACCCACCCCTTTTTCTGGGTGAGATTGACACCAGGCATGGTTTGCAAATGTACTTAAAATGTTGTTCAAATCTGTATGTATAGGGCTAATGGCTATAGTATTAACCCTCATGTCTGTTAAACTCTTCACTGGTTGTGCTGAGATTGTATGTCTAAGCAGTGGGCAATTCGACAACAAAGAGAAAGCTGATGGCAATGGAAATGAATGTGAGAAAAAAAGAAATTAAAGCCAAAGGAAACCAACTCTTCAATAACAGAATCCCAGACTAGTTTGGGTTGGAAGGGACCATAAAGCTCATCCAGCTCCAACCCCCTGCTATGGGCAGGGACACCTTCCACTAGACCAGGTTGCTCCAAGCCCCTGTGTCCAACCTGGCCTTGAACACTGCCAGGGATGGGGCAGCCACAGCTTCTCTGGGCACCCTGTGCCAGGGCACCACCACCCTCACAGGGAAGAACTTCTTCCCAAGAGCTCCTCTCAGTCTCCCCTCTGCCAGGTTAAAGCCACTGCCCCTTGTCCTGTCCCTACAGGCCCTTATCCAAAGCCTCTCTCCAGGTTTCTTGTAGCCCCTTTAGGCACTGGAGCTGCTCTAAGGTCTCCCCTTAAGGAGCCTTCTCTTCTCCAGGCTGAACCAGCCCAGCTCTCTCAGCCTGGCTCCAGAGTCTGTGTTGGTCTCCAGTCTGTCTTGTTGCCCTCCCCTGCCAGCTGTGCTGGGGTCTTCTAGGACAGCTGGTCCTGGGTTACCCTGATCTTCCCATAGAACCTACCACCACTGTCCCAGACAGGTGCACTTCTCCAGTCCTGGGTATGGACCCTCTGTTGGAGGCTTCTAATGCACGTCATAGCCTCACAGCCCCATTCCTGTTCTATCCACAGGTGACAGCAGCTGCGGAGGTCTGTGATGGTTGGAGAAGTCAGCTCTGAAGGATGGCCCAAGCCCCACTGTACTGGATACCATGGAGCTGGCAGGGACCCACATAAACCATGGGATGGGGCAAGAGACCTCTGAATAGGCTAAGCTAGGTTATGGTGAAGCTGAAGTTACGGTGATGCTGGTTCTGTGCTGGCACATCTCTGCCAGGAGTCAATGCTGGGGAAGGCGAACTGAAAAACAGGCTGGAGGTGAGGCGCTGGGATCCCGGGCACGCTGCGCTCACCCGCTGCACAGAGCCCTGGGGTAGGTGCTGCATCCATGCCATAGCTGCCAGGAGAGGGCACCAAGACCAAGAAAACAGGGTCCCTCTATGGCCCTGGAGAGTAAAGGCAATGGTCTCAAAGGTTTCCTCAAACTGAATTACGAGCATGGCGAGCAGCAGGACCATCCTTGCACTGAGCATGGTGGCAGCGTGAGTGCTCTTCCTCAAGGGTGCTGCTCTGCCTCCTCCCTGGAGCTCAGCTCTGAGCTCAGGCAAGGCGGTGCTGCAGTAAGTCTTTTCCAACGAATTTTGACCAACTTCAAGTGAAAGCCCTGTGGGTTTCCTTTGACCCAGAGGATTTCCGCATCACGTGGAATCTTCAGGGTTACTGACTGCGGTGATATCTAGAAAGAACGTTGTACATCAAGGGAAAGCCACAGTGTCTGCAAGGGAAGTGAAATCCTCCTCTGCAGAGGCGTAAACCTAAACACATGTGGGCTCGCAAACCCACATAGAGGGGATTTGTGACAGCAGGAAAGGCAAAGCCTGACTTTCCCTGCAAAGTCACTTGTTAACCCCAGAGCAAACACAGACGTGCTGGAGATGGCTGGGTGGCTTCTGAACTCGACAGGAAGTTGATAGGCAGATAGACTCCACAACTTGTTAAAGTTGTAAAGTAGATATGCTTTTTATTCAGCGCTAAGACCCATGGGGAATAGCTCCTCCAAAGTCATGCATGCCTCAGGGTTGTTTCCCTCTACATTTATTCTCTAAAGTTATATATATTCATAAAGTTGCACAATATGCCTATACATATTCATGTTCTATCCCCGCTTCGTATTATAATGAGATAGAAGGTCTTTTGTGCCTGAGCAGTCCCCCCCGGTCATGGGCAAGGGTCTCAAGGTGAAGTAAATGAGTCTTCCTCTTGTGAGTAGGGGTCTTCAAGAGGAAGTAAAAGAGTCTTCCTCAAGCCTGAACTTTTCACCTCTAGCCATCATGCATGCTCTTTAGGAGTCTGGTCAAAGTCCAAACCACAAAGCTGGTCTTCATTGGAACTAAGTAACTTCCTCCCGCTTATCAGACTCTTTCTCCCCCTTATCAATAGCCTATTTTCCTGGTACTGCATGGCAAGTTTGACAGTTTTTTGTAAACAATGCTTCCTGTTAAAGAAGGAACCTTGCACAACCCCCTTGTACATTGGTCAGCTCTCTGCATCAAAATGTAAGTAAAAACACAGTGACCACTGCTGCTATCAGCCCTCTGTAGCTCAAAAGCTGCAAGATGTCAAATGATGCCAGAAATTGCATCGCATTCCATGCTGTTCCTATGGAGAGGAACAAGCTTTCCACCAAACATCTCTGTTTATAGATGGGAAGCATGGGGTGAAGGGAGAAGGGGGTGCTGTCAAGCCCTCTCTTGCAGATGAGGCTGGCTTAGTCCATTGGCTTCAGGGCAGGAGGCTGAATCAGGCTGAGGGAAGTGGAAGGAAAAGCTGGTGTCCACAGTTCTAAGGTGTTTTTCCAACACCTTCCTCCCTTCACAGCCTTGAAGCCTGCAGGGACCTGCAGAAGGGGGGACAGCTTCCCCTCACTGTGCTCAACTTCCCTTCCTCACTCAGACACTCAGAGCACCAGACCCTTCTGCAGCTCCTTGCCAAGCATCCAGGCATGCACAGCCCCTTCTCTGAAGCTTGTCCCATTGCCTAGTTTTTTCCAGGCTGTAAGCGGATGCACGGAGCAG